TTTTTTTAGTAAACATTTTTCAACATATAGATTGTAACACTGACATTCATGTATACAAATAGAGAAATAAATATTCGGTGTCATATATACCGATCAAACTGTACGTTTATGTTTGAATTAGGAATTAGTTATTCAATAATATGGATACTTATAATAATACTAATAATTAACAGTATGTTAATGTTCTTAAGACCTTAATATACTTAAAAATATTAATGAAACATTTACACCATAAATGCATACACGGAAAACACTCTAGTGAATAATATGATTATGAATATTATAATTGTAATCAGGGATCATGTTAATAATAATAATAATATAAAATGTAATAATAAATATAGTAATGTATTATTAATATTGTAATCATGTGTTCGTAGGGAATGTAGGAAATCTAAGCTAGTAGAGGTTTTGGATGAGAGTGACTAATCCCAAATAATTGGAGAAAGGTTCAGGAGTAGAAGAATCAGTAATTATGTTAACGGAAATAACTTGAATTATGGTTATATATAGGTGATATAAAAATCAGTATTAAAATAAAGGCTGGATATAATTAGATGGTTCATCACTGTAAACAGGCACGTTATAATACTCGTATACTAGATAGCCTTGAGGAGGAGATTCGAGTGTGTTTAAGTGGTCTCTGGGCGAACTGCGGGGTTGTAAATTACGAGGAGTGGCATTAGGAGAAGATATTATCGAAGATACATCTTGATTAGAATACATATCTTTAACTTCAGATACACATTCTAAAATTCTGAGTTTCACATCATCAATTGCATGAACAGAAAAATCTTCTATATCAGCTATTACACTCAAAAAAAACAATTCCATAGAAGTAGTTGTCTCAAAAGCATAATTAAGCAAATCGAATTTTTTTTTTAAGTTAGATAAATGTTTATTTCCTTCTCCTGATTTAGCCGACTTCTTAGGAAGTTTATAAGGAACAGAACCCAACGACACACCTTCGTGTTTATTTCCTTCTCCTGATTTAGCAGACTTCTTAGGAAGTTTACAAGGAACAGAACCCAACGATACATCTTCGTGTTTATTTCCTTCTCCTGATTTAGCAGACTTTTTAGGAAGTTTACAAGGAACAGAACCCAACGATACATCTTCGTGTTTATTTCCTTCTCCTGATTTAGCAGACTTCTTAGGAAGTTTACAAGGAACAGAACCCAACGACACATCTGAATACAAATACATTTCCCTGACATCAGAAACACATTTTATAATCCTTGGCTTAAGATCATTCAAACCTCTAGGAGCTACACACTCGATATCTTTCAATACACTCTTAAAAAATAAACCCAATGATTGAGTGGTCTCCGATTTATTATAAAGCAGTTCAAATTCTTTTTGCAAATTCTGTAAAACCGTATTTTTTTCTTTTGATTCAGCTACATTTTCAGAAGAATAGGAAAACGAACCGTCAGTATTCATTCGAGTTGGTAATAAATAATTTTCCTCATCATCATCATCATCGTTTGCTACATGTTCATCAGTTGTTTCATTATTGTCAGAGTTTGAGACGTTGCTGAAAATTATTTGAATAAATTAAAACAAAATTTAAATACTCATGATAATCACATTGATTACAACATAATAAAATGGTTTAAATGAAAAATAGTCTATTTAATTTAATTAAAGTAGTCTACAAGAGTAATAATAACGTAATTACATTAAATTTGTAGTATACGTAATTATTAATAGAATCACTTTAGATTAGTTACCTATATCAAATTATTACATATTTGATAAATATGTTTATAATTTGTAAATTTTCTTATGATTTTATTAATAAATGATTTAAATAAATGTATATTCATGGATGTAATTAATAACAAAAATAACTTACTTTTCATCAAATTTGGTCGAGTTTATTGTATTATTAAGAATTTCGATTTGTTTTAGAAAACACTTAAATAACATTTCATTTAATTCTTTTAATCCTTTTGACAATGCTCGTAACATTATTATTTTTTCTTCTCTAGATGGATTGCTGTCTTCCTCATAATTAGGTGGATTAATCAAAGACATATAATTTAAAATTTCCTCACCTTCATTTCTATTATTTGCAATGCTTGATGAAGGTCTGTAATTAATGATATTAATTGCATACTCTTATAATACTTGTTGATTATATGGGGATGAAAGCTCAAGTTTATTTTTTAATAAATAAATGTACAATTTTTTTAATTGGAAAACACATTCTTAATTAATATTTGTTAGAAAAAAAATGTATTTCATTAATAAATTTTAAATGTTTGTACTTAAAATAAAACATTTTTATCTAAAGTAATATAATTACAAGTAATGTAATATAAAATTACACTACTCTTTTTTCAGTAGTTAATAAAATATAAATTATAAAATTATTTTAATAGTAACTTAATTTTATTAAAATTATGTGGTAAGCAATATATAATTGGTATACATAACAGTACCTGAATAACAGTAGTTTAATATATAACTAAGTTTAAGTTGAAATTTTAAACATCCAACATTTAAGTACACCACACAAATTTTCTTTACTTTTAATTCTCATTCAATAATTCTGCATCCAAATACAAAAAATTATTTTAGTAATTAAATAACTTGGTAAATTATAAATACAATCTTACTATTAATAAATTATAAATTCTAACTTTCTATTTAGTACACTTTGTGTCTAATTATAATATTTGGTCAACTGACAGCATAAAAAGATGAAAATGAAGCAAACAAGTCATCGTAAAAAATTATTTTACACATCTATTTTATTTTAATCTAACATATGATATTTTGATAGTTAAATATTATTTCAAGAAGTGATAAAAAAAGTTCAAAATTTTATATTTTTCATAATTTTTATAAAATAAATTATGTAAGATATTAATAATTATCATAATAATATATTTAACAGCAGACAATTAAACAAAATCGGAATAATTTCATAATTTAAAAATGTTAGCTCAATAATTATTACTTAAAAAATTAGAATTAATATTTATATTCAGTCGCGATTTTATTGACTTTATATGTATCTACGTATTGAGTTTTTAATTTGAAACCGGCCGTAAATTACAAATATAGTCAAACTCCAACCTAAAGCTAAGAATTTATTTATATATTAATTTACGAGTGTTAAACATTTACTAAGTTTTATTTTATTATTCTAAATTAATTATTTTCAAATTAAAATATGAGATTCCATCCACTTGCAATATTTCTACGGGATATAAATCTTACTGTAATTGATCCAAGTCCAAAAACGATAAGCGAAGAGACAACAACTGAGTTGTATCTGATTTATTAATCGATCCAGTTTCCATAATTCGATTCTTTAGGTATGCTGTTTTAATAGTTTTCCAACGCTTTTTGCACTGGTTTACTTCAGACATATTAAAAACATAAAAATATATTAATATCAGGATTCATTACGTAAGCGTTTGGTAAACATATTATGGTTAGTTTTGGATTTCTGGTCGGATGAAATGGATTTCGTTTTCGGTGCAGTTAGTCGGTAACTGCAGCAAAAACGGGGAAAAAATGGTGGACATCTTTGTTAAACTATTTCCCCACGGATGATACTCGAAAGAATTCCGGTCCGCGGACTCGGGACAGAATTATAGAACGGACAACGAACGTTTCGCTACCAATTGGTCGCCCGGCGAGGGCTGGAAGCAGTGAACAACGGAGACCGAACATTACACACGTGCAGCCATCTTACCCGATTTGTCCAGTTCAGTGGATATTTCGCACCACAAGGGCTCCTTGAAAGCGTGGTCCTTGTGCCGTTCGTGCGAGCGGTCGTACAGCACGCTGTGCGTCTTGACGAAGTCGATCAGAATGATATCTTCCTCGTGTGTAAACCCTGGGACGTGCGACATATTGGTTTGGCGAACAGAAAAACGACGGAGAACAACGGCTAACGGCGGGCAGTAAAATGACGAGACGAGCAGCAGTTGTCGGCGGTTAGTAAAATGTCGAGTGGGTAGCAAAATGTTGGGCAGGTGACAAAATGGCGGCGGGTAGCAGTTGTCGGCGGGTAGCAGTAGACGCGCCGGGTAACAGTTGTCGACGGGTAACAGTTGTCGGCGGGCAACAGTTGACGGCGATCCACGTACGATTGATAGTGCTTGCAGCAGCAGCGGTTAGCGTTCGGTCGTCCGGACCGGTGAGTTGGCAATGAGAGATCCGTGCGGACCGATGGCGTGCGGCGTCCGCGATGTCACCCGTGATCGGCGAGAGCGCGCGTGCGTCAAGGAGAAAGACAAGCATCGATCGGCTACGTTCCGTTGTCTTTCGTGCGCGCGTGCGTGCGTGTGTGAATATAGACATCGAAGATATCGTCTGTTGGTTTTGATTTTCTTTGACGTCAAACATAAAATAATACCAATTAATCTCGCGCTCGCCAACAATAGGAAAGACTAATTGCTTTTACAAATTAATCCGCACCCTTAGAAAAGTCACGCTCTTCGTGATAAAATTCTACTCAGGGTTGTCAAAATCTTGTGTTCATAAAGCCGACAAGAGTACCTTATCCAATTAATAATATCCGTGTTGGTATAATCAATTTTACAAAAACAATTATATCAATATGAATATACCATATTATCATCACTACAAACACTTATTGTCAATAACAACTATGATTAAAGATATATATCAATAGTCGTGATAATAATTAATTTCTTAGGGTCTGTCTACGCAGTCGATTAGACCAACACCGTCGTTATCATTTTGTTGTTATCAAAAATTAAATTGTTATAAATATAATTTTATCATCAATTATAAATTTATAATAAATGAATTACATTATTTTATTTGTTACAATGTAATATTAAGATATAAATTCAAAATTGTATTGTTAAATAATGTAGACAGTCAAGTTGTTCTTAATATTTATTGTTTTCCCTGTATTTATTTATTTATAATTTAGACCTGCTAAATCTCTTAACATAAGAATAGGTAGGTATAGGAACATTATTGCGACCTGTAATTAAAATTTATAGTTGAGTAACAGTAGTACTATATAGAAATTAAAAATTTAATATAGGTGCCTAAATAATACATTACAATTAATTTACTAATTAACCGTTTATCTTAACTAAATAGTCAAATAATAAGCAATTGAATCTCCATTTAAGTAAACTTATTATGTAGTAGTTAACTCTTTAGTTAAAACACTTTTTAAAAACTTCTAACGCTTTTAAAACTATTTTTGATTATCCGAATTGATTTAATAATTATTGTGTAGTCAGTGTAGGTGTATACCAAAAAACAAAAAATAATATATATATATATATATATATATATATAATATTAGTGAAGATAACTTGATATGAATGGGTTATTCAACTTGATTATTATTTGTACCAATATGACATACATACATATTTAATGAAACTCTTAGTTTTTTGATTAAATAATTTTTTTTAATTTTATTTTTTAATTATCTTTGATGCGGTTTTGTAAATTATTATTTTTATTAAAATGGAAGATACTAGATATTTCAACAGTCTAGAACATATCCTAGACAACTCAAATATAGTGAATAATATTTCTCTTCAAAGAGAAACTAATGATTTAAATTTATTTACTACATGTTTATCAGAATTAGGTTTTGGCTATATTATGGCAAAGTCGGTGGAATATGAAGGTAATTTATTAAAATAAGTATGAATGTTTAGATAGTTATTTATTGGATTTTCAAAAATTAATAATTTTAAAATTAACAAGTGACAAGTCTCTAAATAGTACTAAAGAAACCATAATTGATCAATTTTTACCAGAATCATTAAAAAAATATCATTTAAAAAATTTAAAACTTACAAGAGAGTATAAAAAAATTTCTGATGCTATACCTAAATTTTTACATGGAAGATCTGAACCATTTTTCAAGCATATTTATAATAGACTTTCTATTGCTCAAAATATATATTCTGAAAACAAAATAAAAAGTTAGAATTGGAACATACATTTCATGTAAAGAGTGAAGATGATATATCTTAATATTACATTGTAACAAATAAAATAATGTAATTCACTTATTATAAATTTATAATTGATGATAAAATTATATTTATAACAATTTAATTTTTGATAACAACAAAATGATAACAACGGTGTTGGTCTAATCGACTGCGTACAGACCACAGACTTCTATAGAAGTATAGAAATCTGTGGTACAGACAGACCCTAACCTTAACAAATTAGTTATTATCACGATTATAGATATAATATATATATATATATATATATATATATATATATATATCAGATACAGTGGCGTAACTGGGAAAAACCTAGGGAGGGTAATATAATATATTTATTATTACCAAAACCCTGGCACCCCTCCCCGTCACCAGTTTAAACATATTTTTATTGTATGTATTTTATACACTATAATTAATTGTTTGATTTTACATAAATCTTTTAATTTATTTTAGAGTGTAGATAAATATAAATTGTAGATAGCATGTACTAGGTACTAATATTGTTAAATAATTTCTATAAGAGTTCATTAATAAAAGGTACTATTTGTACTGTTGGATTATCTGAGGGGGGACAAAATTAAACCTTTATCTCTCAAAGAATGGTCAGAGGGGGCACTTGCCCCCCCCCCCATAATCACGCCACTGATCAGATATATATCTTTAATCATGGTTATTATTAACAATAAGTGTTTACAGTGATAATAATATGGTATATTCATATTGATAATTGTTTTTGTAAAATTGATTATACTAATACGGATATTGTTAATTGTTTAATTTGTTATAATGGTGATAAGAATTATTTTCATTGTAATGATTGTAAACAATTGCATTAATAATATGCTTTCTTAATTTGAATCATCCATACTATTAAAGTAATAATATTTGTAATCACTTAAAAAAAAATTTTTTGTCTTACCGACAATTTTATAATCATGGTTTTAAAATAGAGAAAGGTAAAATAAACTTTTATAATATATAAAACATTTCTATATATAATACTAACATACTTTAAAAAATTAATTATACATTATGTATAGGTATTAGTCATAACATTTCAATGGAATGGTATCTTTAAGCGACAACTACTCAGTAGGTATATTCATTTTTTAACCATTTATGATATTTTATGATTTATTTATTTTTTTTTTTGAGCATTAAATATTCATAAATAAATGTGATTTTCAAATACTAAATCGTTTATGAAAAAAAAAAAAAAAACCATAATTATTATAGGTTATAAACAATTGTTTATCACAAAAGTTTAATTCAGAATTATTTTAAAAGATAAATATGGATGTTAAAAAAAATCATCCTTTGAACTGTCTCAAATAATTTAACTAGTCTTATAGGTATTCTGTTTTATTTAATCCTTTATTTTTTTAAAATTAATTTATATATATAAAAACGTTTTTCATAAAAAAAATCACTTAAAATTTAACCCAATGTGGATATGCTTTATCATATTTAGTATTCAGCATGTAAAAATATTTTTCTGCATGTGCAGATTTATTTTTCAAAGTTTGCAAAAAGTTGCCACTGCCAATCCCTGCCATCACTGAAAGTTAATTTAAGCGTTTAAAATACTTGTAAAAATATTTAAACAAATGTCTAAATAACTGTTTAAAATTTTAATTTTTTCTAAAAATAAATGAATGTATAGTAATTTATTTATTGTTATAACTGTTTTCATAATTAAAATTTTAAATAAATTACAAAAAAAAAAAAATTAAACACATAACACTTGCAATAGTTTTAGTTATAAATTTAAACAGCGTAAATAAACAAAACATAATAAATTTGATAAATAATTATAATTGATTATAAAACAATTCTGTATTCAGTCAAGTTTTTAATATCACCAATAATTTAATCAGGATTTTAATTAAAAGCCATTTCTTGTTCTGTATTTGAAAGCTATTTAATCTCTCTTGAAGTAGGTACTTCTTAATTTCATTAACACATTAATTCCAGTGACGAATTTAGACCTTTTGCGCCTCGACGAAAAATAAAATTGGTGCCTCTCTAAGGGGTCTGCTCATGGAAAATATAGAAGATAGATTCTCATGAACCTTTTAGATATTTTAAAATCAATGCTATTTTTGTGTAGCAGGCATGCCACCGAACGCCGCACATGATAACATAATACGCCATATTATTATAAATAACTTATGTTTATTGACATTATCACGACAAATTCGGGAACCAATATTAGGTAATATTAATAATATTCTGGATCGCTGATAGCTATATTTCTATAAATACATTAATAATATATATTAATAAATTAAATATATTAACATTAATTTATGATACTGTTATTAAAAACAAAAAAAAAAAAGTTCAATTATTCACAAGTGAACAAATTTCCAACCACAAAATTTTGGCACCCGAGGCAGTTGTAATCAGTGCCCCCCCTTTAAATGTGGACCTGATTCATAGGTGGACATCGGGAGGGAGGGGGGTTGTCATCCCCCCAAATATTTTAATAGCCCATCTAAAATAGAAAATTTGTTAGAAATGTTATTCGTTGTTTTTATAATTATCTGTTCTTTTTTTTGAAAATCGTAAAATAAGAAATAATAGAAAACTATTTACAATAGTATTAACAATACCAATTAGTTCGGCTACTTGCGAGAGAAGTTTCAGTGCAATAAAAAAAAAATAAAAAACTTGGCTAAGGACATTGTTTGTTCAAGATAGGTTCAGCGATCTTTCAATACTATATATTGAAAAAGATATACCGAAAAATATAAAAAGCGATGATATTTTGAATATCTTTGCTGATTCAAATAGATATTTGTCATTAAAATAAAATATTAATTATTTTTAAATATACGTTATTAATGTTTTTTATAATACAATTTAAATATATCTATATTTTTAAAAGTAATAACTTATTACTAATAAGTAGTGATGGGTCGAACTGTTCGAATCTCAAACCGAACCGAACTGAACCCTTGATAACTAAATGATGATAACTAATAATTTTGATATAAATTATATAATATAAATATTTTTTTCATTTTTTTTTTAAAGTTTTTAAATTACGAGAGCCATACTTAAATTATATATCATGCTAACAAGTTTATATCCAAGAGATTGAGCATAACTTTTCCATGTTCGAATAATTTCATGAGCTGAAGAAAATTTTGAATTTTATGTA